CTCGATCCCAGGACTCTGGGATCATGACCTGAGCCGAAGGCAGACGCTTAACCACCTGAGCCACCCAGGCGCCCAACCGTATCTATTCTTATCACAACCATAGCTACACACACCTTGCATCTTGGAATGTCAAGACACTAATAGAATGACAGAGTATTAATTGTACATTTGAATGACTGTGCCTCTAAAATCCAGGCGGATCCCAGCCTTCTTTCCCACTTCAGAATGCTTACCCCTTCCATTAAATAAATATATATTTCTAGATGTCTTCTTTTATTTCTACAAAACACAGACACACGAAACTAGAACCCTGGGAGGCTGAAAACTAAAGGTAAAAAAGGAAGAAACTAAAAACGCCCCTTGCAAACTCCATCAGGTGAATCCGTGGGCGGCGCCAGGGCCTGGGAGGTCGAGGAGCGGCGTTGGCCTGTGTCCTGCAGTGCACGCGCCCCGGCGTTTTCAGCCTCCGGGCTCTAGGGGCCGCTGTGGCGCTGAGCCTGCTGGGCGCGGTGGGCCGCTCTGTTCCGCAGGCGGAGACGAGGCAGAGCTGAGAGGACGCGCAGGGGAGGTGACCTCGCGGCAGGTGAGCGGCGGCGGTTGAGGGGTGACGGCGGGGAACAGGGTGGCCGCCCCGCCGCCACGCTCTGGTCCCTGGCCTTGGCGGGGCGGCCGTCCTGCGGGCCTCACTCCCAGGTGCGTAGGACCTGACGGCGTTCTCCCGAGCACCCCGAACCGTCGCCACTCCTGGGTGCCCTGAACGGTCTTTGGGATCCCTGACCCCATAGGGCCCATTTCCCGCCCCTCACGTGCCAAGATCCAGGCACTGGTCATGGACACCCTCCACCTCAGACACCCTACCATTTCCTGGACAGTTTCTTGGTGTCCCAGCTCACCAAACTCCTATTTAGAGGGAAGTGGTGTTGCAATTGTTTTCACATGAAGTGCCTCTTTCCTTCAGTAATTGTTTTAAGTTGGTCCGAGGGTTGTGGGTTATTGTTGAGCAGTAATTGTGTTAAACGTCACGTGTTCCCCTTGCAATTCCCCAGCACAGTGTCTGGAACTTAATTGAATGGAGTTTCTTTTTCTGGAGACTTCAAATGCATCTGTCTTTGAGTAATAGCCAGCTGTAGTGTAGGTACCACAATATGGGGAGGGGGGTAGACCTCAATAATACTTGACAGCCCGCAGATTGTAACAGCCATTGTGAAAACCTTTCTCCCTTACACAGGTACAGTAAATTCAAGAGATGGAAAGACACTTTTTTAAACGGTTATTTTTTTTTACATCAAAACAACAAATACAGAATCCATTTAAAAAATTTAAGTGATACGCTTTTATGTTTCGTAATTCTGGTGATAACTTGTAAATGCAGCGCCTTATCAATTTTGGAGTATGGTGGGGGTAAAGTAATGGAATAGGGGTGGGCTGGAAATTGAGAGACCTGGATTATCTCACTCCCATTGACAAAGACAATCTCTTTGGGTCTAGGTTTCTCTGTTTTTTTTTTTTTTTAAGATTTTATTTATTTATTTGACAGAGAGACAGCGAGAGAGGGAACACAAACAGGGTGAGTGCGAGAGGGAGAAGCAGGCTTCCTGCCAAGCAAGGAGCCCGATGTGGGGCTCGATGTGGGGCTCGATCCCAGGACCCTGGGATCATGACCTGAGCCAAAGGCAGACGCTTAATGACTGAGCCACCCCGGTGCCCCTAGGTTTCTCTGTTTAAAAAAGGGAGTTGGACTAGATGGTGAGCATGACAATAGCTATCATTTATGGAACATCTGTTAACATCCTTTAAAAAGTGTTATCTCACTTAATCCACACAGCCGTTCTATGCAATAGATAACATTACCCCTTTAGGTGGAAACTGAGGCCCGCAGAGGTTGTCACTTACTCCAAGACCTCCAGCCTATATGTAGCAATGTTGGAATTTGAGGCTATGCTGAGTTCCCTCATAAAGCCCTCTGATTCTATCCCAAACTTTTCTTTTAATTTAAATTTTTAAAGTGCTCTGTCCCAGATTTCAAATGACTTTCTTTCTTTTTTTTTTTTTTAAAGATTTGATTTATTTGACAGAGACACAGCAAGAGAGGGAACACAAGCAGGGGGAGTGGGAGAGGGAGAAGCAGGCTTCCCGCGCAGCAGGGAGCCCGATGTGGGGCTTGATCCCAGGACCCTGGGACCATGACCTGAGCCAAAGGCAGACGCTTAATGACTGAGCCCCTCAAATGACTTTCTTAAATATTAAGATAGTGTGGTATGTGAAACTGAAATAACAAGTGTATTTTATATCTCACTAAAATATTTTGTCCATTTTAGAATTCCCTAAGTCTTAAAAGAAAGGCTTTGGTTTTTTTTTAAATTTTATTTATTTATTTGACAGAGAGAGACACAGCCAGGGAGGGAACACAAGCAGG